GGTCCCACAGCGACACCACCTGCACAGATGTGAACCAAGCCTTAATAAAGCTAGTTCTGTAAAGGATTATGAGGTACTTTCATTCTAATGATGGAAGATTAAAGTGTAACTAAAGGCATTTTTTTTGTTTCAAAAAGAATGAAGAGGAATTTGAACAGCTATCAGTTTTTATTGCCCTCTGTGCCCCTGTTAAGAAGATTCACCCTCTCTATTTGTTCTGTTCACTGTTCTCATCGAAAGTGAAAGTAAAGGAAAATCCCAAATTTTGGGTAGACATCAAAACACTAATAGAGGAGAAATCTTCCAATGGTGACGCGCCAGGATTCCCTAACTTTGGAGGGATTTCTTTTCACTTCTTGTTTTGAATATGGGACAGGACGTGAAAGGAAATCTCCCCTATGGAACACAGATGACAAAAAACTGACAGGGGTTATAACCCTCCCATACTCTATCCAGAATGAAAAAGAAACATTTTGCCACATGTTGAAGCATTCATAACAGTATCAGATAAAAGGGCCTTGTTATAGTTTACCTTCCAGCTTTCTATAGGTCCCTTTTTTATTGTATAAAACTCACTCAGGGGCTGGGGGAGGCATATGTTATTAGCAGAAGGTCAATCATTTTACAGAGCAGTAACTGTTATATCTCAGTGAAACTCTCAGATCTATAAGTCACCCTCAGACAAAGTAAGCAAAGCTTATTAGGGGTAAACATAATTGAAGAATGAATTTTCAAAATCCCTGCATAGGGCCAACTTTAACTGGCTCTCTCGAAAAAATAAAAATAGTTTATAAAACTTTACATCTTCAAAACTACCCTTCAGGGGTAACACAGAACACTTCCTGGGTTATTGGCCCTAGTTCTTCATATTAGAGTTGCCTCTATGTGGTATGTTTGCTTTGCAGATTGGGCACCGGTTGTGAAGCTGTATATCAAACCAAAATGTTTTTATGATCTATGCCATGGACTCAGTGTTCACCTTGCTGAGGATGTTCACTGCTGGCCAAGATTTACCTCAAATGATGACATTCTGCCCAGTTTCTTTCTTGAGCTGGCATTGCCCAGGTGCCTGTGTGTCTCAACACTTTACTTAACTGATATTAATTCATAGTTCTTCAGCTGTGGTGGAACTGCAAGTCTCAGCATATCCTGCAGGACAGGAATTTAATTTTCTGTTATTAACACTGATTTGCCTTTGGCAGATGAGATGTTACCAGCACCTTATGAAGTCAGTGACATTTTTCCATGGACTCTGTCAGCTGTATCTCTAGCGGTTTCCTGATCTGTGTAATCATTCTCCTCTGCTCTGGATGCAAACCACATGGGGAGAGTACTACTGGCAACTGTCAAAGCAGTGCAATGCCAGCACCCTGGCTGTTTATACCCATAAAAAGGAGATGATGAATAAGGGGCTGGCAGGTTTCTCTCACACTTGTTATGCATTAAAATCTCATCAATTCTGTGAATTATGAAGCCGTTTTTGCAATGTGCCCCAAACTCTGCAATGGATCTTGCCCCAATTCCTGGAGAGGAACATTTTTCATAACAAACCTCCTAATTACTTTGTACATTGAGCTTAGAGGAACTTAGTTTTTCAGCATAACTTGAACTAGAAGATTTTTTTTATTCATTCATATAGCAACAACACATAATGGAAAAACAAGTTAGTCTTTGAAGTACTTTGGAAAACGTGTGTAGACAAAAGGAGTTTTACATTTTTTGGACATTGGTCAGAGATCCTTCACCATATTGGGCAACAGTTCTACCTGAGCCTGAAATTGGTATTGAAAGGTTCAGGAAGTAAAAATATTTATAAATCAGGTGGGATGTTTAGAGAAAATCTTCATGCCCAGTTGTCAGGCTTCCCAAGTCCCTCCTGCATTACTTAAATGGGAACATTCATGGGACCTGAGCATTCCTGTTTCGCCCAAGGCTTGGCCTTATCATAAAATGGGCAGATCATGCCTGCTTGTACAATGTCTCTGATGACCAGCTTTTTTAGTAATTAAAAATCATTTCATGTCTAACATTTGTTGCATTTTCATTGAATCGTGTAGAAAATTAACTTACCTCTTACCCTTAATCATTTTAAATTGGCTGATGATTTAAAACAGACTGGTTACATTAATATCAAATGTTTCATTTTCTATGGGAGTATGGGAATTCTTACTCATAAATTTGTGACTGTTAGTTTCTATGTCCTAGGTTAGTTCCTATGCCAGTGATCAAACTGGCATTTAAATCAGAGACCTTCAAATGTTACTAATAGATTGTTTTACAAACACCATTGACATCATTCACATTATACCAAGCATCAAGTGAAATCAATGACTTCACCCATTACATACACAATTCCATCATCCAATATAATTTATACTATGAAAATTTGTAACCTGCTGAACAGGAATTCCAAACATAAACACCAAAGAAGTCAAAGGCTGGGGGATGATGGGGAATTCCTGCCATTCCTGAGAGGTGACATGCTTGACACAATGCTCTTCAATGAAGATCTTATCTGAGGCCTATCTTAACAAACTCATTGTGGATTAAAAGCCATCAAGACATTCACTAAACCAACTCTTCATTCTTGAGTGAGACGTCCATCTGGTCCCCACTTACTGTTATCGGCACAGGGCAGTCTAAAAGGACTCCTCACATCAAAAAAGGCTTTAACCCTGAACAGGGGCGGACTGACAACTCATGGGGCCCCCGGGCAATAGGGGATCATGGGGCCACTGTGTCCTTGCCCAAACTCAAAAAAGCCTATGAAAAAGGTACCAGGGGCATCTCATGGGGCCCCCTACTGACCCCGGGCCCTCGGGCAGTGCCCGAGTTTCCAAATGGTCAGTCCGCCCCTGACCCTGAATGAAAAAGACATGGTTTGCATTAAGAACTCAAAAGAACTTGCATAACTGGCTGGTATTGATGTAAAATGTTGCCTTTTTCAGTTTGTGGTGGTTAGTCCTCTATCTTCTGGGTATTCTGATGGCAAGAACTCTGTGTTGAGTTCCTGGGTCTGTCACCTCTCGTGCCCATTTCAGGGGTTCACACCATCCCTCCAAGATTATTTATTTTATATTATGGGGAATGCAGCACAAGGAGTAGGAATGCCCTAAGACCTTGTTCACATGGACGTAAAGAACAAACATTTGCTTTATGTTACTGAAGCTTTTCAAACGCTTTGCAAAGCTGATGCCTGTTCTTTAATTAAAAAACAAACAAACAAAAATAAATAAAACATGTCTTAGGTGCTTGTAAGGCATTTTGAAAGTTTGTGCCCTAGTAAAGCATTCTAAAAGCTTCAGACTACACTGATTGATAATTATAAAATCACTCCCATACAGATTCAATCTGCAAATGGACACAGACAAGCAAACAGCCATTTCTTCAGAATAACAAAAACGGAGGAATCTGCAACAAAGCTTGTTAAAATCATTGCAATGTACATAGATCACCCAGAGGGAATTTTTTTCTCAACAAAAATGGAGTTACTCTTCTAGACTTTAAGACTAAGGTTTTTAACCTTGCTGGATGTATATACCATGGCACAGCACTGCAAATTGTTTCTTGTATTTTTTTTTTTACAAATTTACATCCAGAGTATTGTATTTATGTTTTCACAGACATGTAAAGATTTCAGTACAGTTTTACCTGTACAGTGAAGTACAATAATAAAAGATCTAGTCCACTGAATGCATGTACGGCTATAATGTATACGTAGATTACAAAGTGACATCAGATCTCATTGTTTAGTACAACGTGAAAAGAGTGTGAAAAAATTTGTATGGATGAAAAAGAATATTTCTGGTTGCCTTTTTTTTAAAAAGTCTAGAGAAAATAACATTGACAGTGGCGACAAGCCTTAGGAACTGGATTTGGACCACCAAGCTGGTTAAAAATTATCTGAAGTGGGAAGGAGACTGGGCAAGAGAGGCTTACTGCAGAGAACAGTCTGACCTCATGAAAGATTAGGGCAAATAAAAATGGAATGTAAGAATGTGTAAGCAGTCTCTGATATGAAGTATCCAAGCACTTAGTAATAGTACTCTGCATTACTTAATAAAAAAGAGGGATAGGTGCAGAATACAGACAGAAGTAGAAAGGAGACGTTGGTAGAAGTGGCAGCAGAGGAGAGCACCACCTCCCACAGTGCCTATCTGGAATAAGGAGTACCTTTGACGCCCACACTGTTTGATGAATCCTGGTTACTGCTCTTTGCAGTGAGACAGAGGATGGTGCGGAGTGCAATCTGACCAGAGTTTTGATGCCGGAGATATTCTGCAGATTATACTTCTCTACATGCGTTATTTATACGCACTTCTGGTGAGTGCGCACTCTATCCGCTCCTAGGATTCTTCACCTCTCTTATAACCACTGATTTGGGATGAGGACTTTACGTGTGCTTTAACATTTCCCACTGATTAGCGCACTGTTTACCATTGTATCACATTTGTATCTATTTTAATATTTTTTGATCATTGACATTTATATGCATATATACCTTATAGAGCATTCCTTTTGTATTCTGATTCAAGCGCTGCACCTATCCCTCTTTTTTATTGATTACTGCAAGGTTGGTTGGTTGCCTTTTTTGGTGTTCTAGCTGCTTACACATTCCTGTCTGTAGCGCTCGCTATACCATTCTTACACCTTGCATTACTTGTCATAGGATGTGTCCCAGCAAACAGATATACTGTATATATATATGTGTGTGTGTGTAATACATATCCGAGAGCTGTGTTATCTACCAAAGGATTTGTATTTCGTCCTGTCTAGGTCTAGTCCTGAGAATTAGGCAGTGCTGCCAAACAGCACAGCCCGGTGGTCTAATTCTTTTCAGTTGTACCTTAGAAGTAAAGTTTGGTCACCCCCTGCCCGCAGCCTGTATTTGGAAAACGCGGAAATACAGTAACTGCTCACCTCTCATAGCACATAGTCATGACTGAAACTACATATAGTCTTGGAATTTATTGCTCTCTGTTTTTTTGTTTCCTTCACAGATAACCCCTTCCCACAAGATTTCTCCATTCTGACAACTGTGAAACCCAAAAAGGGAGGCCAATCATTCCTTATGTCCATTTACAATGAGCATGGCATCCAGCAGGTTGGCATGGAGATTGGCAGATCACCCGTCTTTCTATATGAGGATCATTTGGGAAATCCTGTCCCTGAGGATTACCCTCTCTTCAGTGGCATTAATCTCTCTGATGGCAAGTAAGTCCTTCTCATTGCAACTATCTGTTGCCTGAAGCCACAGAAAGCTGACCCTGCTATGCACACAGGGACTGACAATTTAAAACATGTGTATGCAGGCACACATACACAGAAGAAGATCTTCACATTTGGTTTGGTATGACCTGTCTGTGGCAATCTGCAATGTGTGCAGACTCCTTCTGTTCAGTAGATCTTGAGAAATACATGTTACATTTCTCTGATACTATCATTGTACTTAAAACACGTGTACTAGTCTTCTCCCTGTAAAAGAGCACAAAGCTTTAAAGCAAAACCTAAAGTGGCTCTAAAGTTAAAACGTTTTTTACCTTAATGCATTCTCTGCATTAAGGTAAAAAATGTTTCATCTCTTGTTGTGTCCCCCCCAAACACCTGTCTCCTCTCAGGATCCAGTGCTGTCTCTGTTGCAGCTTTTCTCTCTTCACTTCCTGCTCTCACAGGAGACTCTGAGCCATAGGCTTCTGCTGTTGTCATTCAGATCCTATGAGGAGGGAGCAGGGGCATGGCCAAGCCACTTTGGCTGAAGGGCTCACGCACATGGCTTGCTGAGGGAGCACCCAGAGGAAAAGAGGAGTGAACAGCGCTGGCAGGTGACTCCAGAAGAGGAGGTAAGAGCCTGCTCTGTGTAATACCACTACACAGAGCAGGTAAGTATACCCCATTTTTTATTTTAACTAAAAAAAATGTAGCTTTACAATCACTTTAATGGTATCTGAGCACCACAAACCGAATCTGCTGCCACACTTGCCCTCCTGAGGATTTACCCCCCCCCCCCCCCCTTACTGACCAGGCCATTTTTTGCGTTATGGCGCTGCGTTACTTTAATTTACAATTGCGCGGTCATGCAACGCTGCACCCAAATTAAATTTACATCCTTTTTTTCCCACAAATTGAGCTTTCTTTCAGTGGTATTTGATCGCTTGTGCGGTTTTTATTTTTTGCGCTATAAAAAAAAAAGGCCGACAATTTTGAGAAAAAAAAACATATTTTGGACTTTTTGCTATTAAACATGTCCAGTAAAAAAATTTAAAAAATCAAATTTCGTCATAAATTTACACCAAAATGTATTCTGCAACATGTCTTTGCGAAAAAAAAAATCCCAATATGTGTAAATTAATTGGTTTACGTGAAAGTGGTAGCGTTTACAAATGACGGTATGGATACTGGGATTTTTTTTTTCTACTAGTAATGGCGTCGAGCAGCGACTTTTAGCGGGACTGTGGTGGACATTCTGACACTGGGGGGGAACTGACTTGGTGTCACTAACATCCCCAGTGACACTAATATAGTGATCAGTGCTAAAAAAAAGCACTGACACTGTACTAATGGCACTGGGCAGGAAGGAGTTAATATGAGGGGCAATCAAAGGGTTAACTATGTGTAGGGAGTGTTTTACTATTGGGCGGGGAGTGTGTGCTTCACTGTAAGCACACTGCTGTGGATGGCTGTGCTATGCACAGCCATCCAAAGCATTGTGCCCAAGCCGACAGGGAGGAAGACTGTTAGTAAACAAAACAGTCTTCCTCCCCGTCGGAGATGCTCAGTAATCACCAGGCTCCGGCGGGTAATTCCTGTCCGGGACCCGGTGATTGACAGCAGCGGCCGTGAATGGTGGCGCGGGTAGGGAAAAAGGGAAAATGCAAAATCATGTATATATATATATGCGTGACTTTGCACACCCCTGCGGCCTTGTAGCAGTATATCTGCTATAGGGTGGTGGGGAAGCGGTTAATGTTCAAAGCAAACTCACACCCATCCATCCAGGTCTCCAAGCTTTATTTTGTTAAGAAACCACTTTGAAAAATAACCCCCTAGCATTTCTAGTTGCTGACATCTTTAGAAAGTGCAGATGATTCATGTAGCATTTACTTCCTAGAATCCATCTGCTCTCTGCCCTATTCCAAAAACTGCCCATGAAGTCTCCTGTCATGTTTGACATCATTTTGGCCTGAGCCAAAAACCAGGAAGCAACTAAAGAAATGTAAAAAAAATGAAAACAAGTAAATATAATATACCTATTTACTAAGGCCAGTAGCATATGGATTAAAAATAGTTAATGCTTATAAAGAGAGTTCCACTTTAAGTAGAACAGTGGGCAGGGTATGGACATTCTAATATTTACATATTCTTAACAAGCAATAAATGAACTTTAACCACTTGCCCGCTGCCCTCGAGTAGAAGTACTGCTACAGGGCGGCAGGGCTGCACAAAATCATGTATATATACGTGATTTGCATTTCTGGGTAGTGGGCACCGTCCTACCCGCGCCATTATTGGCGGCTAGGGATGTCAGTCACGGATTCACGGCTGGCACTCAGCGATCGCCGGGGAAAGCTGACAGGGGAGAGACCTGTGTGTAAACAACACAGGTCTCTCTCCTGTCAGCAAGGACATGCTGCTTTGTATTTCATATCGGATATATTTTATAGCAAACGTCAAAAATATTGTTTTGTTTTTTAATTGTAGGTCTTTTATTTTGTTTATAGCACAAAAAATAAAAAAATGCAGAGGTGATCAAATACCATCAAAAGAAAGCTCTATTTGTGGGAAAAAAGGGCATACATTTCATTTATGTACAGTGTTGCGTGCAATCGTCAGTTAAAGTAATACAGCGCCTTATTGCAACAAATGACCTGGTTAGGAAGGGGGGTAAATCCTCTGGAGGGCAAGTGGTTAATGTAAGTCCTCACTGACTTCTGTATCTATAGCCTCTGTGGAGCAGTTAATGCTCTTGGCAGTTCCACTTTCTCCTGCCAGCAGTGTGTTGGTAGCCTGCCATTTTTCAAATTTCTCTTTTAAGAACGATCAGGTGCTCCAGAAGGGGGGGGGGGGGTGGCGAGGGGAACAGAGTGCTGAGACCCAACTTGAACAATTTCACTGCTTGTATTATGAGCTTTGAGTAGTTACTCCACAGTGGCTGTAACTACAGAGGTTAGTGAGGGCTTAATTTAAAGCTTATTAAGTGATTATAAGGAACATGTCAATATTTGAATGTCTATAGCTGGACCACAGTTCTACTTTAATAGCATTCAGGTTTGCAGTCTCCTGGGTAACACAGCTTTGTTGACTGGCAGAGAATTGATGTAAATTGCTCATTGACTTCAAAATTTGGCAAAAAGAGCAGACATCTGATCATTTGAAGATGTGTCAGAGGGACAGGAAGTGAGGAAAAAATTGCATTGATTGGGTGACAGAAATGTTAACTTTTTTTTTAATTAAACAAAAAACCCAGCTGGATAGGCTTTAATATGATTTCTAACCAGAGTTGTATGCTTGAGCTTAGTCTTATAGAGCCTTTTACACTGATATAAGGCTGTTAGTTTGGTCAGCATACTCTGTGCATAAAAAATTGGATCTTTTTGTGGCATTTATTGCCTGGGGACAGTAACATTATCTGTACCTGGACAGTCATCCTGAGATTGAATAGCAGACTTTTTCATCTCTGACAGTTTGCAAAACATACTACCACTGAAGATAGCCTGACATATCACCCCAGATAGGTGAACAAAGTTAGAGGTCACTTTGCTGATTACCATGGTGTTATCCTTAAGGTTATGCTCATGTTTTCTATTGCTCTATTTCATCACAAAACTATGAAGTTAACGAATGAAAAATGTTGGTATGAAATACACACAAGAGACACAGACTGCTCGCCTGGGGCATTAGTTATTCAACAAGGCATGTGATATCTTCTGGTTAAAGTGGAACTAGATAAGGTATATAATTGATGTTAAGTGCAAGTATTCTAAACAATGTGTAGGTGTAAAACTATTGATTACTTCTCACAGAGATCACAGTACCCCCCCCAGATGCCTGGAACTGAGATGTCTGCTCAGAGATGACACAGTCGTGTAAATCCTGATATCTATGCGATTCTTGAATTTCTACTACAGATCAGCCCCTGCTACAGCATCCCACTTTGACACAATGTAAAATCTAGTCACTGAGGGATGGGAGACTGAGGAAATTCATCCTTCTCCCTGCAGCAGACTAAAGACATCATCTCAGCCCAAGGCAGGCCATGCATTATGCAATTGTGCTTCAACCTGCGTTTGGAAGAGAATAGCTTGATTCCCCTATCAACACAGTCAGTGTTGATGGGGAAATCCCTCCCGCTATTGTGTTCTGCTGTTAGGGAGCGCAGGGAGCTTTTTCCCACCACCAAAATACAATGATCACTGCTGGCTGAGTTGCTGTTGTTCCCAGTTGCTCCCACTTTGTTATAATCCCACTAACAGTTGACCGTGGAATATTTAGTAGCAAGGAAATTTCATGGATGGACTTAGTGCACAGGTGGCAACCTATCATGGTACCACGCTTGAAGTCACTGAGCTCCTGACAGAGACCCATTTTTTCACAAATGAGTGTAGAAGCACTCTGCATGCTTAGGTGCTTGATTTTATACACCTCTGGACATACACATTACAAATTACACATACACCAAAGTATGAACCATATACAATAAAACCTAAAAATATTAGTAGCTGAAAAAATATGTTTGACTTTGAAACTCAGCATGGAGAAGTCTCCAGTTGGACCTCCAAGACAACATTGTGCTGAGTTTCTGGGTCTGGACACTTGCATTGCCCATTAAGAGTGCTCCTAGCATCCTCATCTGATTTTTAATAGTAGTTTATATTTATTATTTTATATTAAGAAGATTGTAACAGGAAGATCTGGCAAATGGAAACAGTAAGTAAGCAGGGATACTCAAATCTCCAAAAGTGGGCAGCAACAGACCCAGGAATTATGGCAGGGAGATTGTGCGGTTAGACTAACTGAGACAAATAAGATGCCAGGGTCTGACCCATTTCACCATGCTCCCTTCACGTATAACTAAAATGTCAGTTTTGGGGGACTGACCCTGTAAACCATCACTTCTAGACAAGTTTTGTAAGTTCTGTGAGCTTTAAGCTTTTCTGTGCTTTCCCCTGTTGTATCTGCCAA